CATCCAAAGCTTAAGGCCCTCAATCCAAGCCTTATCGAGCCAAAGTTTCTTTTACAAATTGGAGCGTGAATAGTCTACAAATGCAACAAGTCCATAAACAATCAAAACTGTCCATTATCAAGGTGAAAACCTTAAACTCTAGGTACTACACTTAGTGTAAAATAGATTCCTCGAAAGTGATTTTAAAATTGAAAAAATGGATTCACATGTTTTTTATACATTATTTTAATCCATGTTTAAATTTCAATTTAAATGGTTGTGTAATCGAGTAAAACAATCCATTTTACATGATTAGATTTTCAGTTTAGCCCTGTATATACTACACATTTTATGAACCTTTGATCTTATAATGAACGGTCCAGATTGACTCTCCCGCAGTTCCGTATGGTTGCAGATCCAATCCCATAATTCTGGCTGTTGTCTGGCTTGCTCAAATATGGCAAAATCAATGTCTTAGATCCCTGCTTGCGTGGATAAGTGAAACCACGCGAAGCGGTCTGCGACTGATGCTGTTTGATTTTAAAAAGGTAATTTGAAAAATATTAATTTTCTTTGGGAATGTTTAATTAATTTTTTTTTATTATGAAAATAAACACATCATTATGAATAATATATCACCTCGGGAGGCGAATATATCATTTTCTAATGGTTTCAAATTTTAGAACTTTAAAATTATCTGTATTGTCATAGTCAAACTCAAGGGAAGATAACATATGATCGTGGAGGATCAAAATGATGTTTAATCAAATGTTTGACTATAATAATTCAGAAAGGATCTCATTAATTTTATAATTAAAATCATTATAGTAGTTGATATACATCTCCTAGGAAAGAAGATATCAATCACTATTGATGATTTGAGAGTGACGATAATGATCATTGGTTTAACTTTTTCCAAAGATAATTAATTAGAGTTTTGAAAACTTGATTTTGAAAATTTGATATGGGTTTCTAAATCTCCTACGAGTGTAAGCCCTCGTAGTTAATTACATCGTAGGAAACTAGAGTTTCCTACGAATATCTCGATTAAAATAGTGGTATAAATTTTATTTAAGAATTCAAGGCTCGATATCAAAGGAGGTAAGGGTTAGAATTTTCAAACTGTAATGATTTAAAGTTAACCACTTAACTCTGAAGTCAAAGGAAGAAGGGTAGGATGTGTTTTAAGATTCTGAATTACTTTAGAAGCACCCTAGTCTATCCTAAGTGTTAGGCTTGAATTTCAATTGAAAGAGATTTAAGTTTTTTTTTTTTTTGAAGAAATGCATAATGCATTAAGGAGAAAAAAGTAAAGAACTAATTACAACCCTGAAGAGGATGATATTCTTCCTTGATTAAATTAACCATCAAGGGAGGGATATCATCAAAAGAAAAACTATCAAAGTAAAAACTATCATCTAAAGCCATAGTAGCACACAAGTTGGCTACCTTATTACAATCTCTATAAGCATGTACAAAGACAACTTTATTGAAATCATTCACAAATAAAGAATCACTTACTAATTTGAAGATCATGGTACCTTTGTTCTGCTTCAAAGATTTTTGAATGTAGTTGATAACATTCATGTTGTCACTTTCCAAAATCACCCCTTTATAGTCCCTCATCCAGCTTTTGACGTAGTCCTTGATCGAGAGAATAGCTCCCATTTCCAGCTGTGCAATATCCCAATGCATCATCTTCTTTCCAAAAGCAAGAATGAATCTTCCATTATAATCTCGGAAAACACCTCCAATTCCAGCTAATCCCGAAGACGTTAAGGAAGCATCAATATTGATTTTCATCCACTCTTTCGGAGGGGGGCACCAAGATACTTGAGACTCCCTAAGGAGATTAGTGCTCCAGTTAGAAAGAAATGGACTTGCTTTGGTAATTTCCACTGATAATGCATTAGAAGCCACCAAATAAGAAGGAAGTGCAGTTTTTCCATGCTTTATCTCATTTCTGTTTTTCCAAGAGAAGTAAACAATAGTACAATAAATTTGTACAATTCCCAGATTTTTAGCTGAAAATTTCTTAAGCTCCTTAAGACAATGATCAAGGGAATTGAAAATTGGGATAGGAATACCCCAGCCAACAAGATGTTTGATGATTTCAACCATATATTTGCATTGAACAATGATGTTCTCATAGTTCTCCACTATTTTACAACCTCTAGCACATGAATCGATATCAAGAAGCTTACGATTTTTAAGATACAAGTTGGTAGGAATAGATGCATTCCCAAGTCTCCACCAAAATATTTCCACCTTCTTGCTCAGCTTTAGCTTTTTGAGCCAATTATAGTAGCCATCATCAGTTAAATTGAATTTTCTTCTTAAAACTTTTTCAAAAGCCAATCCAGAAACAGTTCTTCCAGGACAGAAATTCTGCATTTCCAACATATCAACATTGTTGGAATTAATCTGGATATTGCTGATAACTTTCACAAGTTCCGGATGAAACCATTCCTGAAGCAAATTAGAATTCCATTGGCCATTCTCCAGCATTAAATGTTGAACACACATTCCTTCCAAGGAAGAACAATCAGCAAAAGTCGGCCATTGATTGATACTTTTTTCATAGATCCAGCTATAATTCAACACATTGATATCTTTGCCATTACCAATATTCCATCTAGTAATGTTTTTAAGAGATTTTCCACTATCAAGTAAGATTCTCCAAGCTTTAGAAGTGGTCTTCTTATGGGTGCCATTCAAGATATTATTACCATATTTAGCTCTCATAACTCTATGAAACAAAGTATCAGGTTTTTGTAAAAAATTCCAAGAAAGATTAGCTCTTAACGGTCCAGTCTTCAAAGTTGGTGATTGTAAACCCAAGCCTCCCATATTTCTTGGTTTACAAAGATCTTCCCAAGCAATGTAATGAATACCATGACTACCATCATGCTTATCCCATATAAAACTTCTACAAAGTTTTTCCATAGTGAGCAACACCTTCTTAGGGATCATGGAGTGAGTAATCAAATAGTTAGGCATTGTCAAAAGAGAGCTAGTGATAAGAGTAATCTTACCACATAAAGAAAGAAATTTCTTTCCCCAAGTATTAAGCCTGTCCATCATATTAGTCAAGATGTCATGAAAATCTGCAGCCCTTAACCGATTAAGAGATAGTTTGATCCCAAGATAATTCATCTCCTTGACATTTTTGAAGTTCAAGACTTTAGTAAT